ATGTACTCTCCTCTATAATCAGTACTCTCTAAAATAGCTTGGTTTTCTACATTGTTTTTTTCTTTATTTTTTATTATCGATATTTCAAGTGCTTGCAAGGCATATTGATCAGTTAATAATTGATTGTGTCAGTAATCCATACAATATGCTTCTTCTTTACCTTCCCTCTATTTTTTTTATAGCTGATACTGTTTTTTTGTCCAAATTTTGAGACAACCCACAAGTTATACCTTCCATCGGTAATACCGTAGTATCATGCAATTCATTCTCTGGTCAACAATAAAGAGTATTCCTAGAAAATTTGTGGCAATTTTAATCGTTAATAACAAAAAATTTTAAAAATCTATAATGTTTAAAAAATACCCGTCATTTCAACTTTAATTTCCAATTTAGCCATGTAAAAGTTGCCTCCATCAAAATTTCCTTCACTGCAAACAAATTCTTTATCGTTAACAGTTTGTATTCCTCTCAGGCAAGTAGCTGCAATTGTATGGTCCAAAAAAATTAAGATCGGTGTAGGCAATCTTGCTGTATCTCCAGGCTCCATAGGCCTCACATAGACCTAAAGGATGGTTTAAATATATTTTTTTATTATCGAAAGAAACTGTAATTCCTTTGTCGGTAGCACCATATTTGTTGCCATCTAGCCGGGGCAGATCGTATTCTTCTATTTTTTGCTGTATATTTGTGGTCACATCCTCAGGAAATATATACATGGTATAGTTGAAAAGAAAACTGTTCATCGCTACAACTTTCTCTTCTTGTAAATATTGCCTTTCGGACCCTCGTAATTCAACAGGTATATTATGCACATGGATAAATATTCCACTTTTTCTTGTGGAAAGATATCTGCAAACAATAACATAAATAAAATTTTAAAAATTAGAAAACTTAAGTTCAATTAAATATATACCCTGCAGCTGTTAAGACACCCTGTTCCAATTCTTTGATTTCTGACAATCAGGCAACTTGTCAGCACAAAACAAACATGTCGACAATTGTGCTTCTCATGAGTTCAAGTATATCAGGCCCAATACAATTTCGATATATAGCCAGTATCACCTTGTTGGAGGCTCTATCACAAACTACTATTTCTTCATTTTTTTTTATTATTATCGGAAGACAGGAGGCAGCATCGATCGCAGGTACATGGGAAGGCAAAGGGTTTGTTTTTTCAAATATTCACTTTCCTTTTATTTTTTTTTTATCGTAACCTAGAAAGGGTCAAGGTATATCATTTTTACAGCATATACCTCCTCAAGATACTTTTGAGTCAATAAATTTTCCCTGACCTATAATATTGTTAAGTTAATATAGTTACAAAAAA